GATAACACTTATTCAGTATTGTATCACAAGAGACCTATCCACATCTCCTTTCATCAGCCCCACCCAGACAGATTGGATACTACTCAGTGGAGACTCTACCTTCCTCTGTGCCCTCTGGATCTAGGCTCCCTCTTGAAAGCCAGTCACTTCTTGTCACTTCTTGCCTTTGTAGCCCCCCATTTTGGGTAGCCAATGTCCAAGTTGCCCATCCCTGTCTACTCTGTATGGAGGTGGTGGGAATGATGCTTGCTGTAAAGATTTGCTCCCTCTTTTGAACTACTGCATCCATAGGTGTAGGTCAAGTGAACTCTGATCATCCAGAAATTGAAGCCAGGTCAAGTGGTATTATCTGCAAGTGTGGGTGTTCTTATGTATATACCCTCTCTTCTTATCAGCTGGACGCTTCACTTTCCACTCTAGTCCTCTGTGGTTGTGTCACTGACTCTGGGCCCAAGAGTCCCCAGGTCTTGCTACACTGCTGGCTAACCAGGTCTCCACCCGGGTTCACAGGAGTCTGTTGAACATTGTAGGGCTTAGCTCTCAGCTTCATTACTGTTTTTCCCTCACTTCCCCTTATCTGTGATGAACATGGTAACCAATCAGAGTATGTATTCCCATTGAGTCTTAGTCTTGGAAGGGGGTTTGCCCTGAGGGGACCTGACCACTTGCCTTGATGTCTCCTGGGTGAGCAATTTGCTTGTTCTTCTAGTTATAAGTCAGACTGCCTATATTGTTTTCCTTTCAGTCTTTTTTTCAAGAAGTATCTTCTGTTCTTCTAGCCGCTTTAGGCTGTTTTCTTTGTCCTTTCAAGTGGAAATTTCCCACCTCAGAACATTCTGCATGCAGTTCTGGATTCCTCCTATGGTCTTATGTAATGCAGAGGCTCCGCAGGAAGCCTCCTTCACTGGGCACGTTGTAGCCCCATTTCAGCCATATGTTCTTTTGCTTATGTTTTTGTGAATTGCATTTTTGTGTGTGTATGAATGTCTTTTTAATACCCAAATGGTATTGTAATATTCTATTTTTTTCCCATTTATTGGGCCTCTGTTTTTTTGTTTTAAGATACAGCATGTTTGTATATGTACATCTAGTCCATTGCTTTTTCCTGCTAGGTAGTATTCTCTTGTTTCTGCTCCATATCACCTGCCTGTAACTTCCTGCCCTTACGGATATTTCTGCAACAAACATCTTTGTTGGATCTGTGAGAATTTCTTTCACATATGTGCTCAGGAACAGAATTTTCTTAATTATCAGAAATAGTGGCAGATTTTTCTTCAGAATGACTGACTCTGTATGTAACCAGCAATGCATGATAACTTATGTATAATCTTATATTCTAGCCAGCACTAGGCATCCTTTAGTTTTGTATAGTTTTTAATCAGTCTAATGGAGAATCAAATGCTAATTCTTTAATTTGCATTTCTCTAACTCATGATTTTTTATATCTCTTCATAAACTTTTTAGATTTTTGTATTTCTTTTGTAAGCTATTTTTTTCTATTGTCCTCCCTCTTTTCTCCTTTAACTTGTTGATATGTGTCATTAAGTGGTGCTGACTCACTGCAACCCTGTTTAGGGTTTCTGAGCAGTAGCAGGTGGGTTTGAACTGCTTACCTTTTTCTTATTTTTCAGGAGTTCCTTGTACTGATTATTAGTCTTTTGTTGATCTTAAGCATTGCAAATGATCTCTCATTTTGTCACTTGTCATGTATACTGTTAGAAATTTGAACTTTTGTTTTATCAAAGTCACTGATTTTTTTTTTTTTTGTCTATGAAAGCTTTTCCAACTTTTAAGTCATAAAGATATTCTTAGGTTCCACATTTCACAGGATGTTTTTAATTCACCAGTAATCTACCTTTATATGGCGCTATAGGTTAATGGCGCTGGATTGTAAAGTTAGTTTGATCTGCAAGGTTGGGCAGTTCAAGCTCACCAACCACTGCTTGGAAATGCTATATAGGGTAGCTATGGGTTGGAACCAACTTGACAACACTTAACAACAACAACAATATGTAGTATTTGGAGTTCTAGTGTGGTGCTGTGAGATAAGCACTGAATTGCAAATTGTAAGGTTGGCAGTTCAAACCCACCAGCTGCTCAAAAGAAACCCTATACAGGATCATTATGAGTAGGAACCATCTTGATGACACTTAACAACAACAACATCATTATGTAGTGTTGTTGCTGTTAAGTACCATAAACTTGGTTTCGACTCATAGGGACTCAGTATAGGGTTTACAGGAAACAGCTGGTGAGTTTGAACTGCCGACTTTGTGATTCAAACCAACCCTGGTGTCCTATACTTATCCTATAGTGCCACATCAGGTAATTTTTCTTTTTATAGTGAGCCATGTTTCTTATCATCACCTAGTAAACTCTTTATTCTTTCTCTATTCATTTTTTGTGGTCCGGCTATTATGGACATTTGTTAGTTGCTGGTGAATTGATTCCAGCTCATGGAGATTCCATTTGCTACTGAGTAGAATTACTCCATAGGGTTTTCTTGACAATAATCATAGCAAAGTAAGTTATCAGGCCTTTCTTCCTAGTCTACTTTAGTCTGGAAGCTCTGCTAAAACCTGTGTAACATGACTTAGTCTGCTGCTCTTTGGTGGTGTACCTTCCAGCAGGATAGTAATGCACAGCCATCATAGTACAACAAAGTGACATTTTGTTTGGTGAATTTCACCTTTACAAGGAGCTCTGGTAGCATAGGGGTTACAAATCGTGCTGTGAACCTTAAGGTCAGCAGTTTGAAACTACCAGCCGCTCCACAGGAGAAAGATGAGGCTTTCTGCTCCCGTAAAGATTTACAGCCTCAGAAATCCTGTACAGGGTCGCTATGGGTCGAAACTGACTTAACGGCACTTAACAACAACAACAAAGGTTTACATTGAATTCAGTTTTGTATTTCTTCTTTTAGATCCGCTCAGCTTATTTTGAATTAGTTTCTGCTCTGTGCCAGCATATTCCACATTTGATGAAAGATGAAGCATCCAAAGTGAGCCCATCTGTTCTACTTAGCATTGATGATAGTGACCCTGTTGTATGCCCAGCTCTCTGGGAAGCTGTACTTTATACGCTTAAAACTGTTGAGGTATGTAAGAGAGGTATATGTAGTACATTTGGAAATACTTGTTTTTTTAGTCGTATTTTAGAAGCCCTCGATAACATATAAGATAAGCCTTCTGTCTGGAAAGCTGTACTTATATCTGTTGTGGTATGTAAGAGAGGTATATTTAGTACATTTGGGAATGCTTGTTTTCTTAGTCATGTTTTAGAAGCCCTCAGTACCATATAAGATAAGGCTTACTAGATTATAATATCTGATACTTGAAAAATGCTTTATTTGGAAATAAAATATTTACTTAGAACTTGATATGAATATTAAGCTGACTAAAAAATGGCATAAGTTTTTATATTACTTTTCTAATATTAGTTATTCTTTAACATACGTGGACAGTACAGTTAATCTATTTGAATCTTGTGTGTAAAATTAAATACCACTTTCAGAAAGCAGGTTTTATAGGAATCTTTTAAATAAGCATATGGAATACATAAATACTGTGTGGTGCTAAGGGACAATGCACTGGACCACACGGTTGTTTTGAACAGCAAGGTTGGTGGCTCAAATTCACCATCTGCTCCTTAGAACCCCTATTCAGGGTTGCTCTGAGTTGGAACTGACTCGATGGAATTTAACAGCAACAATATGTAATACGGAGTCCTGGTGTGGAGCTGTCAGATAAGCACTGGGGCCACAAGTCAGTTTGAACTGCAAGGTCAGCGGTTCAAACTCACCAGATTCTCTTTGGAAACCTTATCCAAGGTTGCTGTGAGTTGGAACTGACTCAGTGGCAATTAACAACAAAAGCACCATATGTAGAATATTTCTTAAAATTTCAGAGCTTTAATTTTTAAAGATGCTGAGATTATAGACCCTTAAGGTAAAATTAAATGATTTTAAATTTTTTGAGAGCCCACATGTTTTTTCTTTTGATTAGGAAATGTGTGTTTTATGATTTCTAATTAATTCTATATTATTATCTTTGACTAGGACTGTTGGATTCATGTAAATGCGAAAAAAAGTGTGTTTCCCAAGCTGTCAGCTATGGTTCGTGAAGGTGGTCGAGGCCTAGCTACTGTTATATATCCGTGTCTTCTGCCATTTATCAGCATGCTTCCTCAGTCTATTACAGACCCAAAGTTGGATTTCTTCAAAAATTTCCTCACCTCTATAGTTACAGGGTAAGAAGTCAAATTCTTGATGTTGAAAACATAAGAGATTTTTCTAGTTGCCATAAATGGTAGAATGGCATACTAATCATCATCTTGCTTTTTAAGTTTCTCTCAATTGTTTTGCTATTCATTAAGTACTTACACTTTTTAAAGGGAATTATAATTTGAATTCTTTCCTTGGGTCAAGGCTTTAGTGGTATTACCAACAGAAAGTTTGATAAATATATTAAGACCCTTAGGTAGAAGTAGGCCACTTTTCAAAAGAGTCTTTATGTTTTGTGTGTTTTGATACATACAGATGTCCAAATAGAAAAGATGAGCCAGTGAAATTTTAACTTATATAAAATTAAGTATAATAGTTATTTAAATTTGTACTTAAGTTTTTAACTTTCTAAAAGCTGTTTAGTTTTATTAGTGATTAAATTGTTTTCTCACTATACTGTCCAGTCTTTCAAGTTTGCAGCTGGATGAATAGAAAAAACTATTTTGCTTTGCCAAAACACTTTTTTTTTTAAAGTTTTTATTGTGAATTGAGTGATAGTTTACATGGTTTCCATGTTATGTGGTAGCTTACACCATCGTTTCATTGCAATGATTACAATCTCCTCCGTGCATCATTCAACAGCATTTGCTTCCATTCCATTTTTTAGGGGGTGGGAGTTTTACTCAGGAATATATAATAATTTAAACAACCAAAGAGCACATTCTGTATGCTTGCCTCCTGGTTGCCAGTACTCAGTCCTTCTCTTTCTATGAGTCCTGAGTCCTCAGTCCTCTGCTGCTCCCTCTCTCCATGTCCTCATCTCTGCCTCCATCTTTGCTGTACCTGCTTCTCTGGATAGGTTTACCAAAACATTTTTGACCGTAAGCTCTTTTAACAATTCTCTAAGTTTATATTCCAATTGGAATAAGTTAGTTAGTTTAGTTTTTAGTTGAAAAGTTTTATTAAACAATATATTGTCTTTTGGTACAACAACTTTTCAATTAATTATTTTGGTGATTTGATTTGCTATTTTTCTTATGGAAGAATAAGCCATGGTTGTTATTAATTTCTTAGACTGTCAACAGAGAGAATCAAAACCAGCTTTTCAGAGTGCTCAGCTGTAGTAGCTGCTTTTTTTGAGTGCTTACAGTTTATAATGCAGCAAAACTTGGGTGAGGAAGAGATGGAAAAGATGCTTGTCGATGATCAGGTATTTATAACGTAAAAATCACCAGCTTGAATGTGAGTCAAGCTCATTGTGTGTTACCATTTTCATTAATTACCATTCCTTGTAAATATTTCACTTTTACAATTTGCAGATTGAGAAATATGAATTTTACCCAGATAAATTAAAACTCTTTATAGTTAGTTGCTAGCATATAATAAAGTGCCGGAGGACTAACTAGTTGGATATAAAAATCCTGGTTATTTTAGAGCGATGCAATGCAAAACAGGGAGTCCTGGTGTGGCGCTGTGGGTTAATGCGCCAGACTGCAAAGCTGTTTGAACTGCAAGGTCAGCGGTTCAGGCTCGCCAGCTGCCCCTCGGAAACCCTATACAGGGTCACTATGGAACCCTATACAGGGTCACTATGGGTTGGAATCTCCTCGACGGCACTTAACAACAGAAACAACAATGCAAAACATAATTTGGAAGATGTTATTTGCAATCTTTTAAAATGTAAATTATACAATAAACATATTATTTTAAAATACTCAAGTACAATAGTCCTTTTGGGTTTCCTTTTAGAACCAGTGGTGAAGACAGATTCTGGAAAATGGTTTATTATTATAGGAAATAATGGGATTGTGGAACCCCAGATCCTATTTTATATATCATTAACTTTTCTTATAATTGTAATTTAAGAAAAAAGGGTTCTGAATTCTGTGGGCTTTAGGTGTTATTCATATTGGTTTAAATCATACTTTAGATTGTCTCTGAGTAATGCAAATGAATGAAGATCTTAACTGCTGACTGAGAGGGTGGAGGTTCCAGTCTACCCAGAGGCACCTTGAAAGATAGGCCTAGTGGTCTATTTCCACAGAATCAGCTGTTGAAAACCCTGTGATGCACAGTTCTACTCTGATGCACATGTGATTACCATAAGTTGAAGACTTGAATAGCAACCGGTATAAGGCTAAAAAGACAAATACTTTGAATGAACTAAGAAGATGCAAACAAAATTGGATTATTTCTTAATGACTAAGAATTTTGGTCAATTAAATCATTGATAGAGCTAATTCAAGTACAGTACATCTAAATCATTAAGCTCTTTATTATGAAAATGATCTTCCTGTTAGCTGTTTTCAGAGTTATGGGGGAAAATTCATGTGTTTTAGTTATTAAATAACATGTAATTTTAGTATTTTGCAAATATTTTGTTGAAATTTTAGTTTTCTTGAAAATGGATTTTTTTTAACATGTTTTTTTCTTCTTTTACAGTTGATCCCTTTTATTGATGCAGTTCTCAAAGAGCCAAGATTACAAAATGGTCACCTATTTAACCATTTAGCAGATACTTTAAGTTCCTGGGAAACAAAGGCAGATATGGAAAAAAGCGATACAACAGCTCACAACTTGGAGAAAGTGCTGTTAAATTTCTGGGAAAGACTGTCAGAGATCTGTATTGAGAAAATTAATGAGCCTAAAGCCGATGATATATCTGTTTTGGGAGTCTCTAGCTTATTACAGGTCCTTCAGAAACCAAAGAGCGCATTGAAATCCAATAAAAAAAAAGTTGGTAAGGTTACATTTGCTGATGAGATACCTGAAAATCATAAAGAGAATGAAAAAAGCGCCTCTTCAGAAGGAGAGAACAGTGAAGGCTCTGAATTAGTGCCTGAACCTCTCACTCAGAATCCATCAAACCTTATGTCTCCTCTGAGGAAGAAACCTCTGGAAGATTTGGTCTGTAAGTTAGCAGAGATGAGTATTAATTTTGTCAATAAGCAAATGTCAGAGCAACATCTGCAGTTGCTTTCTACTCTGCTCAGCACCTTCTCTTCAAGTCAGGTATTTAAAGTGCTGTTAGGTGATGAAAAACAGAGTATTGTCAAAGGCAAATCTCTTGAAATAGATACACTTGTACAAAAAAATCCTGCGGTGCAGTTTTTATACCGGAAACTAATTGGTTGGCTAAATGAAGATCAAAGAATGGATGCTGGTTTCCTGATAGACATTTTATACAGTGCCCTCCGTTGCTGTGACAATAATATGGAAAGAAAAAATATCTTGGATGATTTAACACAGGTATTACTATTGTATGTTCTGAACTAGAATGATGCATACTGGCACTATTTTAATTGTAGATGAGTAGAATGACATTCATGGGGGTCATTCTTAGTCAGTTATTTCTTGACTAAGAATGTGGATTTAAAGACAAGCAGTGTATTCTTGTGATTTGGGAAGTGCCTGAGACTACTGGATAGGTGCTCAGGAAGTGCATTAAGGTAACAAGCTTGGTAATAAAAATGTGAGTCCTTTCACTTTATACTGAAAGTTCATTTTTTTTTGGTTCTATGGTTACTTCATTTACTTTATAAAAGTTTTGCTATTCCTTTAAGCAGATTTTTTTCTTACTCTTTTCATTTTTCAGGTGGAGCTGAAATGGGATTCTCTTCTTCAGGTTATTAAGAAGGTAAGTTATCTTAGAAATTTTTGTTTATGTTTATAGATATAGAAAATTAAAACCAGTCTTGTTCATACACTAACATGTGGGCAGGAGTCTGTCTTAGAGTGAACTTCCCTATTATTGTAACGTGCTTCCCATAATTTGGAAAGATACTGGGTATTTGCCTTTCTGTGCCATTATTTTTCTGGTTAGGATAATTGGGAGGAAGGATAAGCAGGCTCTGGAAAATCTAGTGTTCCTTTCCTGGCAGGTGACACAGGGTGAGATGAACATTTTATTTTCTTTTAAACCAAATTTCTACTCTTATCCTAGTTACTTTTTCTTCTATAGAAATGGATTGACTGGTTCTAGCTTTGACTAGAGAGCAACAGGAAATGAAGTTTGCCCTACTCTGGAATACTATACTGACAAGTAGTCTTCCAGTCATTGTGTGATTGCCACTTGACTAAGTAAGAAAGTTAGTGATAAGAATTATGAAAAAAATAAAGGATCATAAATAATTCAGAAATGTGATAATATGGCTTTTGTATTCTTTCCTAATGCAGATGTAAATGCTGTAACTAAAACTAGCAATTTTTTTCAACTATAGAAATGTTGACTAGCTATGGAAAATTCTTCCTTTTTTTTTTTTTTTATTAGCATTTAAAAATTATTTTTTCTATTTTGCATAGTGAGATGACTTGAGTTTACAAGTTTATTGCTACAAAATAAATATAGAATACTAAATTTAAAATTTTCAGTGAGAAGTATAAGTATACGGCACTTCATTTATATTAGTTTATCCAGTGCCTTCTCTACCTGTTGGCAACCTATGTATAAAGTCAAATCCCAATTCATAAGGCTGCTGGGTAAGCCTGGATTTAGAGCAAGGGGAGCTAATTTTTTATAAAAGTAGACTAATGTATCCATTTCCAGTTTAGGATTATACCTACCCAGTGGGTCCAGATTCTACTTAGAATATTCTCTTTCCATGTGGTTTGTAAAAGTTGATAGTGTGTTCCTTCCTCCTGTACTTCAGGAGCAACTAGCTTCTTTAGCTGTGGATGGATTTTTTTCGGATGCTAATACACTGAGAAGTTAAACTTATTGTCGGCTAAACCTGAGAGACATTTACCTCAGAAGTTTATTTTCTCCACCAGAATTCTATAAAACAGATTGATTTTCATTTGCTAAACTATATAATGGAGTACTGGTGTGGCACGATAGGAAAAATACTGGACCTCAAGGTTGGTTTGAATCTCATGGTCGGTGATTCAGACTCACCAGCTGCTCCTTGAAAGGGTTGTTGTGAGTGAGAACCAACTCTACAGCACTGGCCAACAATAACAATAGCAAACTGTATAGAAGGAGCCAACATTAATGCCCTCTAGCCCATAAACTCTGGAGCTCTGATAGCGTAGTGGTTACGAGTTGGGTTGCTAACCTCAAGGTCGGCAGTTTGAAACTACCAGCTGTTCCGCGGGAGAAAGATGAGGCTTTCTGCTCCCATAAAGATTTACAGCCTCGGAAACCCTGTGCAGGGTCACTATGAGTCAGAACCGACTCCATGGTACTTAACAACAACAACAACCCATAAACTGGAGTCCTGATATGGTGCAGCACTGGATTTCAAAGTTGATTTAAGTAACAAGGTCTGCAGTTCAAACTCACCATATGCACCTCGGAAACTCTGTACAGGGTTGCTGTGAGTCAGAACTAATTTGATGGCACTTAACAACAGCAACCTAATAGTTATGAGTAGAAGCCTAACAGCATCTTTCAAAATGCATAAAGAAACAAACCTGAATTTTAGAACCAGAAAAGGACCTTGGAATTTTTCTAGGTTAATTGTTCAGATTGTTTAAGAGATATATCCAAGATCACAAGGGTAGTTTATAGTGGTAAATCTTTGATGATAAAATATAAGCTTTGATTATCTATACTTTTTTAAAATAAAAAGATAAGCAGTTTTTTAGTCACTACCCGATCCGCACTTGGATTTCTTTTTTTTCCAGATTGCTTTGAGATGAACCAAGTTGCAAATTCCTTTCTTCTCATTCCTTAAAGCAAAAGAAGCTCTGGGAACATGGATCAGCATGCTCTTGGGGGTGGAATTACAGCTTCTTTCTTTCTCCCTTGCTTCCTTACCTCATGAAAATAAACTAGTTGCAGTCAGTTACCTGGCTTTAGTAACTTTATTTCAGGGAATTTGGTAAATAATAAGTCCCATTGTTTATATTTGAGAATTTATTATTACTCTAAATTGTTCTTTAATTTTAGCAAAATTGATCAACAAAAAATTAATATCTCTAGAGTCTTAATAAAACTTCCTTAAAATTCAACCATTCATTATTCTTAGAACATACCTACAGCATTGATAGCATGTATCAAAGAAGTTTAAGACAGTCTCTGTCCTCCAGGAATGAATGTACAGTCTCATTGAAAAGATAAGATACATACAGTTGAAACATTTAAATGTTAATGCCTTCCAATAAGTGCTTTAGAAAGTCCAAGCAAAGCAGTGATCTCTGTGAGTTAGAGAAGATGGGGCAATACACTCTAAAAATGGCAGCCAAAGAAACCCATGGGGGTGATTCTGCTGTGTCACATGTGATTGCTGTGAGTCAGCATTAATTCCATGAGGTCTAACACCAAATGGAGAACAGGGGAGATAATAGACTTCCTGTAACTTGAATATAGGAATACAGAGTTGGGAATAGTGTTGGGACCACAGTGATGAAGATTTAATATGATAATATTTTGAGATTACTTATTGGTCTTGTTTCTAATTTTGCTTTAATTTTTATGGTTTTAGGCATGTTCCAGTTCAGATAAACATGCTTTAGTAACTCTTTGGCTAAAAGGAGATATCCTTGGAGAGAAATTAGTAAACTTGGCAGATCACTTATGTAATATGGGCTTGGAATCCAAATTATCTTCAGAATGTTACTTTTCAGAAAAATGGACCCTTCTGAGTTTGGTATTGTCTCAACATATTGAAAATGGTAAGAAAAATAAGTCTTATATTTAGTAGGGGATAATTCTTTCCAGCTTTTGAGGGGGATCCTGTTTTTTCAGCTTGCAGATTATTACAGGGTCGCTATGGGTCGGATTTGACTTGACAGCACTTAACAACAATGTAGCATGATTTAGTTGATTCACATATCCTAATTTTATAAATGCACTAACTGTTTTATAATCCTGGTAGTATCGCTTAGAATATATTTCGTATTTTTAGTTTTGTATTCTAGTAAAGGGTTTTGGATTCAGCAAATGCCCTTTTTCTCAATTTGTAAAGTATTGCTCTTTTTTCCTTAACTTAAAACTGATTTTTTAACTTGAGATCTCTTATGTGTGAGAGATTTTTGGTTATAATTTTCTTTTGTCTGAGACATTAAATGCCTTTTAAACAATGCAGAAAATCCCAAGTGGTTATTAACTAAAAGCAAGGTATTAAAAAATATACTGTTAACTTGAAAACAATTCGCTGAGTGGAAACAGTCAGTCACAAAAGGATAAATACTGTGTGATCTCACTTATGAAATAGCTAAAATATGCACGTTGGTTAATGGTTGCCTGGGGCAGGTAGGAGAAGGGGGAGAGGAAGGCATAATACTTGATGGGAAGCATTTGCTAAGGTTGATGGGATCATTTAGGAACAGTCAGTAGCAATGGTTGAACAGCATGAGGAGCAATCACTGAACTATACATGTGAAGATTGTTGAAACGGCAAATATTTTGTTATTTTGTATTTACCATAAATAAAAAATGCAAATAATACAGTTAATATTTATAAATAATTGTTTGCTTGAAAATTTTTCTCTCTCTAGATTACTTAATTGGAGAAGTATATACTGAAAGAATCATTGTTAAACTTCATGAAACTTTATCGAAAACAAAAACAATGTCAGAAGCTGAAAACAGTAACTCATCGGTATCTTATGTCTGCGATGTGTCCTATGATTATTTCAATTCAGCAAAAGGATGTTTACTCATGCCATCATCTGAAGATTTGTTATTAACTCTCTTTCAGTTATGTGCTCAGAGTAAAGATAAAACACATTTGCCAGGTAACAACTTACTGCATTGTGAAGATGGCTCAGGACCTGGTAGTGTTGCGTTCTGTTCTGCGTAGGTTAGCAATGAGTCGGAACCGACTCAATGGCACCTAACAGCAACAACCTATTGCTCTTATGTTTTGTTGGGAATCTCTTGTCTGTCCTTTATAGTGTAAGTCTTCAGGCTTTCACAGTTGAATCATAATTTGTTTGGAAGTTTAAAGAATTTTAAGTAAAGGGTTACAGATCTTATGCACTTTTCATTTTCAGAAAACAAGTTTAAGATGTATGTAGATGGTATGTCTAAAGTTCTTATGTGATATCAAGGAAATGCTTTTGAAAGAGGGATGTGATAGATCAGTTGAATCTTTGCCCTTCCACTCAGTAGTCCTAGCAAGTTTACTTAATGCCTCAGTTTCCTCATTTACAAAAGTGGAATTATAATGTCTTTCTCTTTTCATGTAGTTAAAATATTCAGTAATTTCCTTCAAAATGAAATTAAGATTGTCCTTCTGAGTGTATATTCTTGTCATTATATGTTAATTCAGAATTATTTATGAAAGGAATACATTAAAGCCCTTTCTTTTTGACTTCTCTTTTTGGAAAAGGCACAGCCTTTCTCATCTCTGAGAGAGGATGGTTTTTGTAAATAAGCTCAGAGCAAGAAAGAGCTAACTTTTGAAATCTCACAATTTTTACATTTATATTGTAAATGAGCTACTGAATATTATTTGCATGTTTATGACACACTTTATTTTGGCAAATGACATAACAATTTTGTATTTTCTTTTAAAAATGATATATAAAATATCTCACATCTGCAGTAGTTCTTTCAGACATTTTGCACTGATTAGCATAATTGAGACTACAAATTTCTGTTGACATCTTGATTTTAGACTTTCTTATACGTAAAATGAAAAACACTTGGTTGTCTGGTGTAAATTTCCTGGTTCATCAAATTGATAATACATATGAAAAGAGTACCTTCCTACGCTTGTCTGCTCTTTGGCTCAGGAACCAAGCTCAGTCTTCATTTTTGGATGTCAAAAGGTAACCTTTTTTAAAAAAAAATTCAGTTGTAGTTTCTTATGTTTTTGATCTTTGTTCTTAATGAGTATTTATGTTTCTTTGTCTATGAAAAGCATCTTGTTATGTAAGAAATCTACAGAAATTTAAAAATCTACACAACCAAATTTTTTCAAAAGGGTTTTCTTTTAATGGCCATTCGTTTATACTTTCACTTAATTGAAGAATGATTTGTTATAACATGCCCTGCTGGACTCCTGATTTATGGTCAGTGATGGCGGTCCTGTCCTGTGTTATAGACAGGTATGGATTGTAACTATAACCTCTCACTGGCTGCCGTACACAGATAGTGATTGCTCTTGGGTGGTTGTTTTGGAGTCATCTATTGTTGTAAGGCTGAATTGCAAATGTTTTGCTTTTTTTTTTGTTTTTAAAAAGTAAACCTAAATACATATGAAAGCAAATCTTGAGAGAATAAACCCAAAAACTATTGGAATTGAGTCTAATCTTTTTTAGATCATAATGCTTTTTTTCCTTTTTCTTAAGACGTATTCAATCTGAAGCAGGTCAGGTCCCCTTCCTTTTGAGATAGAAGCAGCACTCAATTTCTTACTACAAATGTTGGATTAAATTCCCAGTTTAACTGTGTGTCTGGTATGGGGTGTATTTCTCTTTGTACACATCTCCTTGTTCAGTAAGGCTGTTATCTGCCAAAAAATAGCTAATGTATATGAGAGAGCTCAAATTAGTCATAGTAGAGCTGTAACAGTAGGTTATTTTCATTATTTTCAGTCTAAAAGTCCTCTTGTCTTCTGTTGATGATTTCCTAAATAAACTGCTAGAGAGTAAAGATACTGATCTACTGGGAGTTTATATTGGAAGTGTTATGCCAAATGACAGTGAATGGGAACAGATGAGAGAGTCTCTTCCTATGCAGGTATGTTTGTTACTGATGAGTGTATAGCATATTTCATTTTGAAGTTTGGATTTCATGTAAGGCCAAATATTTTAAATTTTATTCTGGGAAGTAAAAAAAGTAAGTGAAATTAATGTCATGCTTGCCATTAAGCTTCTGAATGCATATATATTTGATGTTTGCTCTTCAAAAGACAACAGCAGACACTGTTTGGATGCATCTCAATCTCATTCTCCTGAATTCCTTCTCAGGGAGTTCCAAAGCCTCCCCTCCTTCCAATGTGAAGTTGGAAGTTCATTTGTCTCAGTCACTCTATCTTAGTTTCTGGACATGTGCTGATATGGCCAGCTGTTTCTTGGGTATCTTCAGTAGTTAGGTGTGATGTGATGTTTTATTATGCTGATTGCTGTCAGGTAGATGTCATCAGGAGATGGGCTTCCCTTTTCACTTTTTTTATTTCTCAACTCAAAGTAACTGAGCAAATGTTGGCTGTCTATCTGGTTTATAGCACCTGGTATTGGCTCTTGCCTGGATGGTGGGATTTTATAGGCTGTGATTGTAGCTTGACTATATGACCACAATTGCTGTCTCTTCTTGGTTAGTGTCAGGAAAGAAAGAGTCCCCTGAACGTAAAATAGGGACCACAACAAAACAGCAGTAGCAAAAAAACCCAACTTGGATAGTATAGTCTATAATTACAGAAAAGAGAAAAAAAGAAAAATTCTATAGCAAAATATGAGTATGACTTGGCTTCTTGCTTTCAAGGCCACCTGCAAAGTTTCAAGATTTTGTTGTTGTTCCTTATGACATAACTAAGAATTTAAATTTTAGCCTGTTTCTCTCTCACTCCACAACCCCTGTTCAGGCCTTTTTCATAGTGATAAACAGATCAGGGCCCACTGTAGCCATGTCCTGGTGTGGCACTGTGGGCTAACGCATAGCCATTTTGGGCAGCCGTTTGGTTTTAAGCTGTACCTTTCCTCTTCTTAGATTCTGCTGAACAGATCCATGCACATGCATAGTAGAACCCTCTGGGGGTGGGGATGGGGTGTCCACTTGCTCAGGCACCCCCTCTAGTTACCAGAGTGGAGGTGTGCAAACAGTGAGAGACCAATGAACAGAGAAAAAAAAAAAGATGGTCCACATTTTTATCTCCGAGGATGGGTCAGACTGATCCTTCACCTGCTCTGTCACTCCCAAGTGGGAGTGCTGCTCTGATCCTTCACCTGCTCTGTCACTCCCAAGAAGGCTGCTCTAGGAGCCGCTGGGACCCGTAGATCAGAAAACACCAGTTTTCTTGCTTCTGCTACAAATACAAACATTTTCTAAATATTCCTTCATATGTAGTTCAGGGTTCTGGGAGCGTTCCCTGAACCTGCTTCATCTGGTATTCTGTATTATTGCTGTTAGAGGTCTGTACCGCATTTCTCCCTAATCTGCCATTTCTGCTCTCGATTTTCTAAGTCATTTAATGTTTTCTTTTTCCAGTGGTTACACAAGCCTCTTTTAGAAGGAAGATTGAGCTTGAACCATGAGTGTTTCAAAACAGATTATAAGGAAGAAGATATAAAGACACTTCCTAGTCATTTGTGTACTTCAGCATTATTGAGCAAAATGGTCTTAGTTGCACCGAAAAAGGAAGAAGTCCTAGAAAATAAGGAGCTTGAGAAAATAAGTATGTATATATCAGTATTCAGATATAAAATTATGTACAAAATATAATTTTGAAATAGTTTTGATCACATTGCAGTTTACTCTTTAATTCAAGAATATTTAGTTTTGTATTTACTCTCTTAGAAATGGGGAATTTGAGGTTAGTTAAGTGATATTAAATCAAATTGCAAATTATGGAAACAGATATCATGCTGTAATCATGTTTGCTGTAGAGCATAACTTGGCAAAGATAGTTACTCAAACTGCAATGATGTTAATAAATGCAGAACATATGGGACATACCTTAAACATATACACACACAAAACCTGAGACTGGTACCATCAAAGATTCTGAATTTTCAGGTTTTTTTTTTTTTTTTAACCTCTAACTCTTTATATTCAAGGGCTATTTATTGTTTTTCCGGTAAGGGGGAAGTTCAAATTTTGAACTTCTAAGATTTGGTGTCCCTGAGTGATGTAAACAGTTAAGCACTTGATTGCCAATTGAAAGATTGACAGTTAGAGTCCACCCAAAGGTACCTCAGAAGAGAGGCCTGGGAATCTACTTCTGAAAAAAAAGAGTCATCATAAGCCCTGGAGAGCATTGTTCTACTCTGACACATATGAGGTCGCCATGAGTCCCCCATTCTAGGACATGCCTTAGAACTGTAGGTAGCAGCATGACTTTTACAAGACACAATTAAAAGTAAGAGGCGTTGCATAAGTCTGCTATCTTTTTTTGTTTTGTTTTGAAGTCCTCAGCTATAATGTTTGTTGTTAAGTGCCATTGAGTCGATTCCGACCCATAGTGACCCTGTATAGGATATCCAAGGAGCAGCTGGTGAGCTTGAACCACCAACCTTGCAGTTTAAATGACTTTGCCCACAGTGCCACACCAGGATTCCTCAGCTATAATAGTTAGTGCTATAATAGTTAGTGCTTATTGTCCTTGGAAGAGAAGAAGGTTGAAAACTGGAACTTGGTCAGTCAGGGCCACATTCAGTAAAGAGCAAGGAGATGTGCTCGTAGAGTAGTAACTGTTGTCCAAAAATGAAAATTAGACTCACTGTAATAATCTTTTTTTAAAAAAAATTTTTATTGTACTAATTATGAACTGACAACACTATTTAATTTCATCAACCCCTTAAGACAGATTCTGTTATTTTCTTAATTTGGCTTGGTCAAAGTTACTTGACTTGTAAGAGACCGGATTCAACTTTGAACCAGGTCTTGGGTCTGATGACTCCAAAGCCCATAGATAATGTGACAAAGAGAGCCTACCATATGTAAGGCTTTGTGATAGACATTTGATCATTTAATTTTCCCCTTGGTCCTATAAGGGAGGTTTCAGGGCCCTCAGTTGTTTATCCTGTATGTGGTAGAAATAATACTAATTTTGGCAGAAATAGTAAGGAAAATTCTTCCACTTTCTCCAGTAACTTAGATCCCTGCCTGCCATGTTCTTAACTAGTTAGAGACCAACTAAGATTTGGGAGAAGGTAGTACTTTGTAGTAGACGAGTATTCTCAGTTTTCATTATAACTGAACGCTCAAAACTGATTTGAAAACTAGGTTATAGATGTTTTGAGATAACTGTGAGGCAGAGGAGGACGAGTGAAAATGATTACAAGGTTTTTTCTCAAAGTACACCTGAAAATTTGATACTATCCATTCTACTAGTTGCAGAATTGCTCTATTCACTGCAGTGGTGTGAAGAATTATACAACTCACCTATTTTTGTAACTGAGTTTTGTGAACTGCTTCAAAGAATGAATATTACCTATGATAACTTGTGTGCACTTGGTAATACTTCTGGCCTTTTGCAGCTAATATTTGACAGGTAAGAATCCCTTTTAATGTTCATTTGTATCACTATTTTGCATGCTTATGGCTTGGACTTTTATCAGATTAGGTCCACTTCATATGCAAATCTTTACTGAAAGAGTTGGTCTAAATTAATCTTTGCTTCATATTCATAAATACTTTTTGTGTTGTAAGTACTTGATTATTTTTTTTTAATTTAATTTTTTTTGTTTAAAAAAATTTTTTTTTTAATGTACTTTTTAGGGGAGATGTTTGTACTTTGCCTCTCTTAATAAATCCATAAATACATTCAAGGAGCAGATGAGGGTGAAGCATATGTATATTTTGTCTTGTTTTGTTTTTATTCGTATTTCGTTTCATTGCAATGATTACAATCCCCTCCATGCATCATCAAATAACCAAAGGGTACACCACACAGGCCTGCCCTTGGCCGCCAGCACACAGCCCTTCTCCTCCCTGAGTCTAGTGTCCCTAGCTGCTCCATCTGTCCATATCATCTTCTCTGCCTCCATCCCTGGTGTCACAATCTCTCTGGGTAGGGTCCCACTCTCCGTTCTTCTCATTTGATGGTCCCAGGAACTATTGCTCCTGGGCTGCAAAATTAATCACTCTCCTCCCTTTGTCAAAAAACATCTACCTGTAAATTTCCTACCCTCACAGTCCGTCCTGATAGCAATTATTCATTATTGTACCATGAGAGTCTTATCCCCATTTCCTTTCACCAGCCCAGTGCCAATGGATTGGAAAACATTCAGTGGTGATTCTGACTTCTCCTGCCCTGTCTGGAACTAGGCTCCCTCTTGAAAGCTTGCAAGCCAGTCATTCTTGCCTTTATAGGCGCCCCCATTTTGGGTAGCCAATGTCCAAGTTGCCCATCCCTGTCAACCCTGTGTACCAAGGGGGTGGGAGTGATCCTTGCTGTAAAGATTTGTTCTCTCCTTTGAGCTACTATATCCACAAGTATAGGTAAAGTTCATCAAATTGTAGCAGGTTACTTTTTCTTTTTTCTCTCCTCTTCTTTCTTCTTCTAGTTAAGCTCTAATCATCCAGCCATCGAAGCCAGGTCAGGTGTGTACCATCTGCAAGTATGTGTGTTCTTGTGCATCTCCCCTCACTTCATATTAGCTGGATGCTTCACTCTCCACTCTAGTCCTCTGTGGCCAGGAGTCCCTGGGTCTTGCCATACTGCTGGCCATCCAGGTCTCCACCTGGGTTCACAGGAGTGTATTGAATGTGGTCGGGCTTAGCTCCTAACTTCATTGCTGTTTTTTCCCCCTCTTCCCCTTATTGATGAACAATGTGGTCACCAGCCAGACCTACTCATGTATTCCCTTTGAGTCTCAGTCTTGGAAGGGGGTTTGGTCTGAGGGGTCCGAACCACTTGCCTTGACGGCTCCCGGGTGGACAGCTTACTTGTTCTTGTAGTAATCAATCAGGCTGCCATATTATTTCGGCTTTTTCCTGCCAGTCTTTCTTACACAGTCTTTTTTTAATGAAGTACCTTCTGTTCGTCTAGCTGCTCCAGGCTGGTCTACTCGTCCTTTCCAGTGGAAATTTCCTACCTCAGTCGGTTCTGGATGGGGTTCTGGATTCCACTTATGGTCTTATGCAATGTAAAAGCTCCACAGGAAGTCTCTTTTACTGGGCAACTTTTAGCCCCCTTTAAGGTATTCCAATCAGTTTTAGACTGAAGACGGACTTACAGGATTTATGTAGAGATGATTCTGGCTGTTCCTCCCTCTGCCCCACACCCAAAGTGTCTATTTTACAATGGTAGACAAGGGAAACCAAGAGTCAAAAGACAGCCAGGCATCTTAACGTTATTTCCCTCTTTTACCCCTTCAAACCATTCCTTAATCCCTGTATCCCGGAGCCCTGTTGTTCCAAGGTTGTGCATACATCATCATTTACCTGTGTTCCACTTAGCCCATGCGAACCTGCCTAACTGTTCTCCCATCAGGTTTGTTCTTCCATTCCCTTCTCCCTTCTTGTGTATTGCCCCCCTGCCACCTCCCCACACCCAAACTATCCTGTGTCTATTGCTTACCCTGTGCTTTATCTTCCTCTCTGTTCCTTCCCTCCTCTCATCCCATACATCCTGGTGATCAGCAAATATATATATATAATTTTTTTTTCCCGATTTTGTTGTGGGTTCTTTTTCTTATTCTTTTACAATGATGATCCTATGCAGTATTTCTCCTTTTGTGACTATTTTCACTCAGCATAATGTCCTCAAGATTCATGCATGTTATGCAGTGGCTTGCAGCTTCCTTGTTGTTCTTCAAGGTAGCATAATATTCCATTGTGTGTATGTACCACAGTTTATTTATCCATTTTTCAGTTAATGGGCACTTAGGCTGTCTCCATCTTTTTGCTATTGTAAATAGTGCTGATATGAACATTGGTGTGCATATATCTATTCGTGTTAAGGCTCGTATTTCTTGTGGGTAAATTTCAAGTAGAGGAATTGCTGGATCATAAGGTATATCTATTTCCAACCTTTTGAGGAAGCACTCCATATTGCTTTCCAGAGTGGTTGGACCATTTTGCAGTCCTACCAACAAGGAGCTTTGGTTGCGTAGTGGTTACGAATTGGGCTGCGAACCTTAAGGTAAGCAGTTCGAAACTACCAGCCGCTCCGCGGGAGAAAGAGGAGGCTTTCTGCTCCCGTAAAGACTTACAGCCTCGGAAACCCTGTACAGGGTCGCTGTGGGTCGGAACCGACTCAACGGCACATAACAACAACAACAACCAGCAAGGTAGGAGGGTCCCAGTCGCTCCACATCCTCATCAGCATTTATTGTCCTCTACTTTTTTGATCTTTGGTGTTATTGCTGGTTTGAGATGATATCTCATTGTTGTTTTGATTTGCATCTCTCTAATGGCTAGTTGGTTGTGAACATTTCTCCATATGTTTGTTGGCTGGCCAGATCTCTTCCTTGGTGAAGTGTCTGTTCGTGTTCTGTGTCCATTTTTTAATTGGATTATTTGTGGTTTTCTTGTAGAGGTGTTGTAGTTTCCGATATATATTAGAAATGAGTCCCTTGTCTGATGTGTCATTGCAAAAGATTTTTTTTCCCATTCTATGGGTTCCCTTATTACTCTTTTGGTGAAGTCTTTTGATGCACATAAGTTTTTAATTTTTAGTATGTCCCACTCATCTATTTTGTCTACTTTTGTTTGTTTACTTTTCAAAATGTTTGATAGTCTGTATATTCCCTGTATTAGAGCCCTCACATCTGTCCCTATTTTTTCATTGATGACTCATAATTTTGGGATTCACATTTAGATCTTTAATCCATGCTGAGTTGGTTTTTGTATAGGGCGTGTGGTGAAGTCTTGTTTCAATCTTTTGCATATCGCTTTCCAGTTCTGCCAGCACCATCTGTTAAAGAGACTTAATCTCCTCCCTATGTAACGTACCTGGGCACTTTGTCAAAAATCAGTTAGCTGTAATGTGGATGGGTTAATTTCTGGATTCTCAGTTCTGTTCCATTGATCAATGTATTGTACCAGTACCAGGCTCTTTTGACCACTATAGCTGTGTAGTAGATTTGAAATTGGGAGTGAGAGGCTTCTAACCTTGTTCTTCTTCTTGAGCAGTGCTTTGCTTATCCCGTGTCTCCTTCCTATACATATAAGTTTGTCTTTTCTCTTTGAATAATATCACTGGAATCTGGGTTGGAATTTAATTATATGTGTAAATTGCTTTGGGTAGTACTGACATTTTCATGATGTTGAGCCTTCCTATCCAGTAGCATTGTATGTTCTTCCACTTTTTTTTTTTTTTTTTAATGTTTTATTGTGAATTATGTGACAATTTACATGGGAGAACATTAGCCATTTGTTCATCCTATCGTATATAATTTCCTTGCCATGGTTATAATTCCCTCCATGTATCATCAACCAACCAAAGGGTATACCCTGCAAGCCCGTCCCTCAGTCATCAGTGCACAACCCCTCTCCCTCTCTGGGTCTGAAGTCCCGAGCTGCTCCATCTTTCCAC